AGTTTCGAACCGCTGACCTTAAGGTTCGCAGCCCAACTCGTAACCACTATGCTACCAGAGCTCCTTTCTTTCTAGGTAGGCCATAGTAAAGGGTCCTGCACAAGTTAACTTTAGGGCTTTGTCCCAGATACAGATGTCATAAGTAGCCAACGAAGAATTAGCCCATGGGACCAATGGGGCTCATCCTCTCTGTGCCGTGAGAAATCTGTGGACTCAGTGCTGTACCCTTTTAGGGGTATGCACCCACCTACCTGAAGTTGTCTGGGCTGGGCAGAGAAGGTGTGACAGGGAAGAGGAGGAAAAAAGTGTGTAGAATCCCCCTACACCTTCTTTTGCAAATGTGGCTGTGCTGGTTTAGTGTAGATTCACTGTGGCCCTCTGGCTGTGGCGCTGCCCTCTGAAGTCAGCCCAGGTGGGGTTGTCACAGAGGGAGTCCCGAGCCCTGATTGATTTCTAAATCACAATATTTTATTTTATACAGTGATTTTTCTACCAGTGGGTGTGGAAAACTGTCTCCCTGCACTTTATGCTTGATCCAGAGCCTTGTAGCTGTTCCGTGAAAGCAGCTTCTCTGGGTTTTCAACCCCTCTCCCATGGAGCCTGTTCTACTGGACTCCGAGTCTGCCGCTAACAAAACTGGAAGTTCTCTATTCAGCTCTTTTACTTCCTCATTTCTTCCATTTGCTTTAGCATCTCTATGCTGGAAAACAAGTTTCAGAATCTCTTATGACATCCATTTTGGTCTTTTTCTTCTTTTTCGTCTTCTTAATGATCTTCTGCTTTCTTCTAGTTCTTGATGTCATCCCACAACTCTTCTGGTCTTCAGTCATTAGTGTCTAATTTATCACATCTGTTCTTGGGATGATCTAAATTCAGGTGGGATATGTTCAAGGTCATATTTTGTCTCTCGTGGACTTGTTTTCATTTTTTTCAGCTTTAGTCTGACCTTGCATATAAGTAATTCATGGCCTGTTTGACAGTCTGTCCCTGGTTATGTTTTGACCGATGATATGGAGCTTTTCTATGATCTCTTTATATAGATGTAGTCAATTTGTTTTCTGTGTAGTTAATCTGATTCCATCTGGTTTGGTCCATGTGTATAGTTGTCGTTTATGTTGTTTAGAAAAGGTATTTGCATTGAACATATCATTGGTCTTGCAAAATTCTGTCATGCGATCTCCAGCATTGTTTCTATCACCTACGCTATTTTCCACCAAATAATCCTTCCTCTTTGTTTCCAACCTTTGCATTCCAATCACCAGTAATGATCAATATATTTTGATTTCATATTTGATCAATTTCAGACTACAGAAGTTGGTAGAATTCTTCAATTTCATCATCACTGACGTTAGTGGTTTTGGGTAAATTTGAATGATAGTTCTGTTAACTGGTCTTCATTGTAGGCTTGTGGATATTTATCACAGATAGCATTGTACTTCAAGATAGATCTTAATATGTTCTTTTTTTATGATGAATATGATGCAAGTCCTCTTCCAGTTTTCATTCCCTGCATAGTTAACCATGTGGTTGTCAGATTCAAAAGAACCAATACCACTCTGTTTCAGATCACTAATGCCTTAGAATATTTATGTTTATGCATTGTGTTTCATTTTTGACAACTTGTAATTTTCTTAGGTTCATACTTCTTACATTCCACGTTCCAATTTTTAATGGATGTTTACAACTATTTCTCTTCATTATGAGCTATGCCCCAGCAGCAAATGAAAGTCAATAAAGTATCATCACGGTCAACTCTAATTTGAGAAGGTGGCTCTTCCCCAGTCACATTTTGAGTGCCTTCCAACCTGAGGGGCTCATTTCCTGGCACTATATCTGACAACATGCTGGTGTCTTCATCATGTTTCAATATTCAATATTCTGGTGTTATCTAACAGTCTTCCACTACTATTCATAAGGTTTTCAGTGACTAAATATTAGGTAATAGTCCATCTCTTTCTTCTTAATCTTTGTCTGGAAGCTCATCTGAAACTTGTTCACCAGGGGTGACCCTGCTGGTATTTAAAATACTCCTTGCAGAGCTTCCAGAATCACACATCATGCAAGGCACCACAGTACGGCAAATTGACAGTGAATGGTGGATGAAAGGTATCTGATAGATGGTCTTGAAGAATGAATAAACATTTACTAAATGGAGATGAGAAGAAAGGCATATTATATTAAAAAATAAATTCTGAGTAGGAATTTTACAATAGGACATATTTGGTGAGTAATTTGGTGTTTCTGGACTGTGTACTAATTTTAGAAAATGTCTAAATTTTTTTGGAAAATAAAGTTTCATTAAGAATTAATAGTTCATTATGTCTAGGGATATTAGTCTCTCTCATATGATCCAAGAGTAAATAGATAAAGGTTTACAAAACAGACTAAATGCATTAGAGAAAGGAAGATCGCTTAAGGGAAATAAGACCCAATATATCCAGATTACACTCCCAGCTAAGGTTATTCATGGTATAAGTAGATTTGTGTTATCTTTCAGTAATCCAGAACTTGATTGGAACTTAATCCAACAGCATTCTAGGAGGTTGTGGAATAATATCCACTTGTCTGTGGATATTCGTCAGCTACATGCTCAAATTTATGGTATAAGTAATTTTCAAAGTGAGCACTGAGTGGCTACTAATTTGCTACCCCTGCTAGAGAGTAAGATCCCTAAGAACTTGATTGAACCTCAGCATAGTCATTCTGCTTGGTCACCTTAGAGCAGGTGGTGGGCTGGCAACGTCTTGCGTATGGGGTCCGCAGCCGATCTCCTCCCTCCCTGCCTTCCTCGGATGGCGGCTGTTTATGCTGGACGTGTGGCCAGAGACGGGTAAGGATCACGTGGAACCTCGGCAACCTAAGACAGAGCCATTGCCATGCTGCAATGAGTTTCGATGATGGGTAAGACTGAGGAATTCGCACTGACTGCCTAAGACAGGCAGCGTCCCTTAAACAAACAATAAATAAGGGGGAATCTGATGCAGACCGTGCAGACCCGGTCAGGAGGTCAAGAACCTGTGGGCCCAAGCGTTGTTGACCGTCCAAACCATCAGACTTTAGCCACCTAGTAGACATAGCAAACTGTCCCTCATCTGATTATTCAGTAACGCTTGTTAGTAATCTCATACATGAGCCCTGGATATCCACAGACAAATGTAAAAACCTTCCCTTAAAGCTGAGACTGTAAATTCCAAAAAGGCAAGTTCCCCCCTGACCCAAAAAAAAAAGAAAGCTAAAGAGGATAGAGAGAAACACTGTTAACTGATGATGCAGGGGATAATAATCAATGTAATGAAACAAGCTATATGAATGGTTGAATGTGAAGCTGATGATGTGCCCTGTATACTTTCACTCAATCCAAAATAAAAACATTTAATAAAAAAAAAAAAAGAAAAGAATTAATGGTTCATTAAAGATTATGAAGCTTTAAGAAGTCCTGGAGTGGCTATGTAGGGTAAGCACTGTACTGATAACCACAAGGTTTTGGGTCATAGAACTGAATTCTTTTTTTCTGGATTGGTTTGTTTTTTTACAACCGTACCCTTAGTGGGCAAAGCTACTGATAATTTAGATCATGTTTTATCTTTAAAGACTTCAGCTTGTGTGATTGAAGAAGAACTGAAGGAGCAGCTAAGAAAAAAAAAAGAAACATTGAAGCACTTTCAGAGACAAGTCAAACGCCGAGTAAATCAACATATTAGGCTGAGAAAGAAACAACAGCTTCAGAAGTCTTATGAAGCAGTAAGTTGAAAAGTTTGCCTAAGTAAAAATTGAATGGAAAGTATGTATGATGTCATATTTACCAAAAAAATCACTTTTTTGATTATGTATAGTATCTGCTTTATGTGTGGCGCTGTGGGCTAATGCGTCAGACTGCAAAGTCGTTTGAATTGCAAGGTCCGTGGTTCAAGCTCCTTGGAAACCCTATACAGGGTTGCTATGGGTCGGAATCGACTTGATGGCACTTAACTACTAACTACTACTAGTAAGAAGCTATGTTTCATTCATGTGTTGTTCTGACTCACATTTTTGGTTTCGCCAAGTAGTTAAAAACAGTGTCAGAGATTTGGATTCAGACTTGGGTTTGAACTCTGGCTTTACTTTTACTAACTATCAGACCTGAATGTCTCAGGACTGTAATTTTTCATCTGTAAAATGGAAATGTAATACTTGCTTCACAGAATTGTAAGAATTAGGTGAGGTATACATATTATTAACATAATAAGTGCTTGCTGAAAATACTACTTTACCAGCTAACCTAAAAACAAACCTAATGGCAGTTGAGTCAATTTCAACTCCTAACAGCCAAACTTGTTGTTAAGTGCAATTGAATCAGTTCTGACCGATAGCGACCTTTTATAAGGGTTCTGAGGAGCAGCTCGTGTGCTTGAACCACCGACCTTGTGGTTCAAACTGACTTTGCAGTCCAGTGCATTAATCCACAGTGCCGTGGAGTAAAACTGACCATAGAATTTACAAGGTTGTAATCCAGCTGCTCCTCAGAAACCTATTACAGGGTTGCTATGGGTTGGAACCTACTCAACAGCACTGAACAACAACAACAGACCCTCATGAAAACAGACTGCCACTTTTTTCTCCTGTGGAACAACTGATGGGTTTGAAACATCAAACTTTCAGTTAGCAATTGAGTGCTTAACCACTGTGCCACTGTGACTCAAAGTATACACCTCACCTCCCATTTAAAATCTTTCAGGCTGCTTAGAGACAGTATTTGATTGGAGTGGAATCTCATTGTTTTTTTTTTACCTGTGTGTAGGCAGAAAAAGAAGGCTCTATAGCTATACAGTCTTCAGATCCTGTACTCAGAGGTGGGGGTCCTAAAAAGAGAACAAGTGTTTTTACAAACACTATGAATGCTGCTAGTGGAATTTCATGGTTACCTCTTACCCCAGAAGATGGAGAAAATCATAATGAATTATTCCAACAGCAAGCCCAGGCTGTAAGTACATATTCATCTTATTTTATTTCTGTGATTCTTTTTGTTTTTGTTTTTTCCATTCAGCGCTAAGTCTGTCATACTGTGGTGGCTTGTATGTGGCTGTGATGCTGGAAGCTATGCTACTGGTATTTTAAATACCAGCAGTATCACCCATGATTTCAAGGAAGCTTCCAGACTAAGACAGACTAAGAAGAAGGAGACTCAGACTATTTTTGAATGTTTCTCCACTGAAAACCTAATGAATGGCAGTAGAACATTGTCAGATATAGGACTGGAAGATGAAAACAAAAATAGCAGCAAAAAATTGTTAGATATAGTGCCAGAAGGTGAACCCTTCAGCTAGGAAGGCATTCAAAATACAACTGGGGAAGAGCTGCCTCTTCAAGGTAGATTTGACTGTGATGACATGAATGGAGTAAAACTTTCAGGACTTTAATATGCTGATGGGGCACAATTCTAAATCAGGAGAAATAGCTGCAAATATCCATTAATAATCAGAGCATAGAATGTATGAAGTATGAATCTAGGTAAGTTGGAAGTTAACAAAAATGAAATGGAATGTATAAAGATAGATATCCTAGGTATTAGTGAATTGAAATGGACTGACTGGTATTGGCCACTTTGAATCTGAAAGTTATACTATTTACTATGTCAGGAACAATAATTTGAAGAGGAATGGCATTGCATTCATTGTCAAAAAGAACGCTTCAAGAGGGAGTCTAGTTCCAGAAGGTGCGGGGCAAGGTAGAATCTCCACTGAGTAGTTTCCAACCTGTCTGGATGGGGCTGATTAAAGGAGATGAGGATAAGACTCTTGTGGTTCAATAGTGAATATTTGCTATCAGGACTGACTGTGAGTGTTGCAAATGTAAAGGTAGACGTTTTGTAACAAAAAGAGGGGACTGGTTGATTTTGCAGTCCAGGAGCAGAGCACCCTGGGACCATCAAGGGAAAAGATTGGAGTGTGGGACCCTATCCAGTGACACCAGAGATGGAGGCTGAGATGATGATGTGGACAGATGGAGTAGCTGGAGGCGCTGGACTCAGTGAGGGAGGGGGCTGTGTGCTGATGTCCAGGGGCAGGCTTGCTGGGTGTACCCTTTGGTTGTTTGATGTTGCATGGGGAAGAATATTGAAAGTATCATGGACTGCCAGAATAACAAGCAAATTTGTATTGGAAGAAGTATAGTCAGAATTCTCCTTAGTAATCATTATGGTAAGACTTCATCTGTCATACATCAAACTTGTTATCAGGAGAGACCATACCCTGGAGAAAGACATCATGCTTGGTAAAATAGAGAATAAGCGAAAAAGACGAAGACCTCCAATGGAATGAATTGGCTCAGTGGGCTCAAGTATAACAATTGTGAGGATGGCACAAAACTGACTCCATGGCACCAAACTATAACAAACTAAAAATATGACATAAAGTTGGGATTAGAAAATTCAACTTCATTTTTATTTTTTTTCTTCTTGGTTAAAGTGGGGAATACAGTAGTGAAATTATGCTTATTTTTTGTCTATTTTTGGTAAGATACTTTTTAAATACAAATGCCGAAGTATTATAGAGTTCAATACTTATTACCAAGAATTTTAGAACAAGGAACATGCATTTTTCTTATTATAGTTATACCCTGGAAACATTGGGGGTTCAGTCCACTATAATAAAGCTAATATTGCAATAAAGCAAATCACTAGAATTTTTTTTTTTTAAAAGCTTTTATTGTGAATTAGGTGATAGTTTACATGGGAGAACATTGGTTTTGCACTCATCATATTTCATTTCATTGCAATGATTACAGTCTCATTAATGCATTGTCATTCAACAGTTTGTTTCTATTACATCTGTTTTTTTTGTTTATTTGTTTTTGATGTACACAAAAACACTCAGGAATACATAATCATTAAACAACCCAAAGGCACATTCTATAAGCCTGCCTCCTGGCCTCTAGCAAACAGCCTTTCTCTTTCCATGAGTCTTGAGTCTTCAGCTCTATCTCTTCATGTCATCATCTCTGCCTCCATTTCTAGTGTCATTGCATCTCTGGTTAGAGTGCCATTCCGTTCATCCTCTTTTACCTTGATAGTTCTAGGGTCCTCTGTTCCTGGAATGTAAATTTACTACTCCCTGCTTTATGTTACAAAACTTCTACCTTTACAGTTGTGACAATCCCACTGAGTCATGATAACAATTACTCACTATTGAATCATAAGAATCTTATGATTCTTTCACCAGACCCATCTAGACAGAATGAAAACTATTCATTGGGGATTCTACCTTCCCCCGCACACTCTGAAACTAAACTCCCTCTTGAAAACTTGTAAGCCAGCCACTTTGTGCCTTTATAGGCCCCCTCCCACCCCATTTTAGATAGCCAGTGCCTAAATTGTCTGTTCTTATCAACCCTGTATACTGAGGAGATAGGCTTGATCTTTGATGTGAAGACTCCTACCCTCTTGGTTGGTATTTTGAGCTACTACATCCATAAATATAGGTCAAGTTAATCAAATTGTAACATTTTACACTTGGTTCCTTTATCAAACTTCTTTATTTTCCTCTAGTTGAGCTTGGTCATCAAGCCATCAAAGCTAGGTCGAATGTGTACTATCTGCGAGTTTTGGTGTTCTTGTGCGCCTCCCACACTTCATATCAGCTCTAGTCCTTGGTGACTAGGTCAGTGTTCATGGGTTCAGGAGTTACCAAGTCTACCCAAACTTTGGACCAACCAGCCCTTCCTCTTCTGTCTCTCATCTTGAGGTTGACAGAAGTCTATGGAACATGGTAAAACTCAGCCCATGCCTTCATTATTGACTTTCCCTCACTTCCACTTACGTGTAGATCAACGAGGTGACCAGCTTGTTTACATGCTTGCTTGTGTGTTCCCTTTGAGTTTCAAACTTGGAGGAGAGTTTGTCCTGAAGAAACTTGATTGCTCACTTTGATGATTTCCTCAACAGACAGCTTGCTTATTCCTGTAATAGCCAAACAGGCTGTCGTTTGTTTGTTTGTTTGTTTTTTTCCTGCTGATCTTTCTTTCAGGAAGTATCTTCTGTTCCTCTGCCTGCTCTGGGTTGGTCTGCATGTCCTTTCAAGTGGGAATGTCTCACCTCAGAAGGATCTGGATGGGGATCAGGAGTCCACCTAAGGTCTCATACACTTCAAGGGCTCCACAAGAAGCCTGTTTCACTGGGCATTGATCGTGTCTGTGAATTAAATATAATTTCTAGGGATTCTGTTTTTATAAGTTGGTATAGGGATTTTGCAATTAGTGCAAATTTTGAAACCAGCTAGGCCTAGGAAAGACTGGAGTTGTGTTTTTGTTTTGGAAAGGGGAATGGCTTTTGCTAGTTTTTTTTTGATCTTCTGGGATTCCTCTAGTAGTTGGTGTTAGGGAGAGGCCTAGGTAAGTTACTCTTTTTGCTATTTGGGCTTTGTGTTTGGACACCTGATAGCCCCACTGTGCTAGTTGATTTACTAACTGGGTTGTATGCTGTAGGGAGAGGGACAAGGAAGGATGGCATAACAATAAGTCATCAACATATTGGAGGATAATACTGGGCTTTAGCTTAAGTGTGTTTAAGTCCTTTTGGAGGGCTTGGCCCAAATTATGGGGGCTGTCCCAAAAACCCTAGGCTAATATAGTCCAGGCCAACTATTGACTTATATGGGTGTCGTAAAGGCAAATAGGGGTTGGGACTCAGGGGATATAGGAATGGAAAAGAATGCATCTTTAGGTCCAGTAATGAATAATAGGTAGTGTTAGGGGGGTTATGGTTGAGGATAGTGTAGGGGTTAGGTACGAGTGGGTAGGTGGGGATTATGGCTACATTGATATGGTGTAAATCCTGAACTAGTCTAAAAGTTCCATCTGGTTTTTTTACAGGTAAGATGGGGATAGTATAGGGGGAGTTGATAGAGATAAGGAAACAGGCCTTTAGGAGGCGAGTAATGATGGGTTTTAAGCCATATAGGGCCTTGGGGATATAGGGTACTGGGGAACAGATATATAAGCTTGAGGATCTTTCAGCGAGATGACTACAGGTAAATGATGTGCTGCTATTACTGGAGTGTTGGTGTCCCACACTACAGGGTTGACCCCATGTAAAGAGGGTCCTGTTGTGTTTGGGAGTATTTGGGAGTTGCAAAATAGGATATAGGGGCGGGAGGGGTTTAGTTGAGTGAAATATAGGGTGGTTCCTAATTTTTGAAGGATATCTCGTCCTATTAAGGGCGTAGGGCAGTGTTGTAATACCAGGAGGAGTGAGTAAATGATAGTCCATGGAAATTGCAGGGCACTGGGGGTGTTTGGAGGAGGGTTTCTGGGAGTCCTTTCATACCTATTACTGTAGTCGGTAAAGGAGAAAGCGGTCCAGCAAATTCAGTTAAAACAGATAGGCTGGCCCCCGTGTCAAGTAGGAAAGAGATGGTCTTTCCAGCGACACTCCCTTTACCTGGAACTCGGGGACATGGGAGGCTGTGAGATTCTGGGCCACGTCATTGCTCGTCATTGCTTGGTTAGTGGCAGGAGGGACACCAGGCTGTTTTCAGGGTTTTTTTGGGGAGGGACTCCCGCTCTGAGGGGCGGCCTCTGTGTGGGACAGTCCATCTTCCAACGTCCCCACTGTCCACAGGTTGGACACAGCTTTGTAGGAGGCTTAGGGTTAGGGCATGCTTTTGCCCAGCGGCCTTCATTTCCACACCGGAAACACTTTCTTGGGGGGTTGACAGCCTTGTGTCCTTTGATAGGGTGGTGGGTGGAGGCCAGCATCTGTAGGTGAATTTTTGGATGGAAGTGCCTTTCTTTCTCTGCCCTTTTTTCCTTCCTCCCTATTATTGAAGACTTTAAAGGCAGTGTCAAGGAGCTCCCCCTGAGGGGTTTGGGGCCCTCTTTCTAATCTTTTTAATTTATTTCTAATATCTGATGCTGATTGGGAAATAAATTGGAGATGGAGGTAAGTTCTCCCTTCTGGTGACTCAAGGTCAAGTTTGTTATATTTAG